TTTTGTCCTTTCATTTTCCCGCCTATTTTTTTTTCTTTTTTTTTTTTTTTTTTCTGAATGAATGAGTGAATGCATCGTTGTTTTTTCCTTTTTTTTTTTTTTTTTCTTTATTTTGTCCGTGCGTGGGCGAATTTTATTATCCAATCCCCTTTTGGTTTTGTTTTGTTTGTGTTTTGACGCTCATTCCAAAAGGAAAAAAAAGAAGGGTGAATCCGAAATAAAAAGGGGAAAATTGTTGGTTTTGGCGGAAGGCGAGAGGGATGGAAAGGGGGAGAAAAAAAAAAAAAAAAGGAGAAAAATAAATAAATAAATAACCCTCCGGTGCTTATAACGGTGATGCTACCATGGACGGTTGTCATTTTTTGTGAATTGTCACAACTACCAAAAAAAAAAAAAAGAAAAACGAATAAACTCTGTTACATGGCAGAGCATGCATTCGATAACACATGCCTGCCGTTCAGCCGTTGTGCCTGCCAACTTTTCTTGAATCCACCGTTTTTTTTCTGTTTTTTTTTTTTGTGTGTGTGTCTGCTGTCTCGGGAACTGCACGTATATGCGTATATGCATACAACCTTTACCTTTTTTTTTAAGGGAAAAGGAACGCGAGGGTTGAGCACCGAATTCTTTTCAATTTCAAGCGTGAGGGAACATCACAACGACAATTCATATGCATTTTCAAAACTTGTTTGTGGCGAAACTTCCCCGCAACCTGAACGATTCGGACTTGGAGCAAATCTTTGCGGAGTATCGTCCTGTCAGCGCAAAGGTGATGTTGGATGCCTCTACAGGGAGGAGTAAAGGCTTTGGTTTTGTGCTCTTTAGAACCGAAGAAGAAGGGAAGAGGGTGTACGAGGGGATGAATAACCGTGATGTGATGATTTACGGTCGTCATTTTAAACTCTATGTGTACCCCTCACAGCATAGTGGAAGGGCCGCTGTCTCTCCATCTAATGCTCTGTACATTCGCAACATTCCCATCACGGTTCCGCAGGCGCAGGTGGAGAGGTTTTTATCGACCTTTGGCACCTTGGCTTTCTGCGCCATGCGTGAGGACCATTACGGTAACCCTGTATGGGTTGTCTACGCCGAGTACGACTGCCTTGGCTGTTCCAAGAATGCCCTCCAGAGGCTGCACGGCAGTTCAGAACACTTTTATGGTCCTCCAGTGATGGTCAAGTACGCTGACACGGATGAAGCCAAACAAGAGCGTCGCCGCCGCCGCGAACAGGGTCAGTTGGCCCCGGCCCCGGTCCCCCGAAGCGCGTGCCCGTTCATCCCATTAAGTTATTGGCGCCTAGGCCGATGATTCGCTGTTAGCAACATTGGCTTCAGCTGCGGGTGGAAAACCACCTGTGGTTTTAAAATCAATTCACCAGCAGCGCGGTTGAAAGCAGTAGTAGCAACTGTACAAATGCACGCGACGATGAATTATTGAAGCGAATATCTTTTAGGATTTATTGGCATAACTCATTTTTTTTTTTTTGTCCTGCATCAACAAAAGACTTGGAACTTCAAGACGTTCAGTGAGCAGAACAGTGACCGAGACACGAGGTGCCCAGCCTAACCGTTATTTCTTACGAAGCGACCGGAGAGATCGATTTTCTCATGTTCATCAAATAGGGCTTTTGGATCTCCTAGAAAAACGGAGTTACCAAACAAAGCGAACATGACAGTTTTTTTTTTTTTTTTTGTTGTTGTTGTTGTTGTTTGTTTTGTTTTGTTTTGTTTTTTTTTCTATTTTATTTTTTTTATTTTTGGAGGAATGTAGGCCAATCTCAGTGCTCTGGAATGTGTTTTGTTGTTAAACTGCTTTTTTTTTTGCTTGTTTTTTTGTTTGTTGTTTTTGTTTTTGTTTTTAAATCAAAACAATACATATTAATATTTATATTTGCATTTGGAGAGGGGAGAGATGCATCCTTGTGCTGTAAGCGTTGGAAATGAAAGTTTCACGAAGCGCCGCCCTGTGCTTTAAAAGGTGGCGGGTGGCGGTGAAGACGTGGGGAGAATAAACGAAAAGGAATGAGACCGGGATGTGAAGCAACGTCTCACGTTTGCGTGTTTCTTTTATTTTATTTTTTATTTATTTATTTATTTGTCTTGGAGAAATGGCAAACACTTCCATGTCGTTACAGCAGCCCTTATTTTCCTACCGCCACCACCACCGCCCCTCAGAAGACATCACTATTGCAATGAAAGCGACGGGTATAATAAAGAGTTCGGGAGGGGGGGGGGAGACAAAAGCAAGCCGGTGAAGAAAGCGTATATGAATGAGGAAATCCAATGGAAAACAAAAACACTGGTCTTAATTAAGATCAAAGGAAGGAGCGCGAAGTTTTTTTTTTTTTTTTTTTTTTTTTTTTGCTTACTCTGCTGACTTGCTTCTTGAAGTTTTGCTGTGAAGCTGTTCCCTTCATGATGGCTGGTGGATCTCCATGATGTCTTTGGGACGCCATTTGTGCAGTCGTACGTTACTTTGCTTCTTTTGCCGTTGATGTTCTTTTTGTTGGGGGGCGTCTACGGGAAGAAGGCATTTGACCCGCGATGAAGTCTAAGGGGGAAAGAGCGCCATCAGAGGCGGCGCACTGCATTTCCGTGTTGCTGGATATTTTGAAAAGTTTAGAGTTGTTTCTGCGACAACTTCGTGAGCTGGAAAGCCAGCGGCACGAGGAGATTAGAATTGCGCTGGAGAAAAAGATGGAGGCAGCGCTGAATGAGCGTCTTCCTAGACCCATACAGCAGTTATGGCACGAGATTTGTGGGGCTTTTGCATCGGCCGTGTCCCCGCACGGCGTGAACTGCGCAGTTCGGGAGGGACTTTGGGATGAATTGGCCCATCAGTGCGTCCAGCTCCCCTTTTTTAGGTCGATTTACGAATACGCCGTGGCTACACTTTCGGAGCGGACACTGGCAGCTGAGAGTCACACGGTCACAAACTACCACTGTATTGAGTGGTTGTTGAAGGAACGAGAAAACATCTGGGCGTCCGCGGAGTGGCAAATAACAAGTGAGTGGTTGAAAGGTTTTGTGAAACATTTACTTCTTGCCGCTGCATATCGCGAGGAAAGTGAGGGCGTCCACCTGGGTCACTTGGAGAAAAGCGTCGCACTGGCTAAAGAAACCTTTCAAGAGTTCAGCGCACAAGGGAAGCAAAAATACTCCCGAGGAGTTGACGCGCTCACATCAGGTGGGAAGTCAGACGAAGATGCGTTTGAGGTGGAAAGAATGCGACGAGAGTACTTGAAGTTTTTTCGAGAATCTTGCATTGGTGTAGCGGGTGATCTTCTCTCTCTTGTAAGGCAGAAGGATGTATCGCAGTCATCCTCTCCGGGCAACTGTCATGTGGAGGTGGAGAAGAAGACAAGTGAAGGTGAGGGGAGAATGGGGGCTGCGGCTGTCAGTGATAGTGACGGTGATGCGGGGATATTGTCATCCTCTCCTCTGATAGCGGGTGAAGATCGGTGGGTTTTCTTTCGCGTCCGCCCAAACGACAGCCCAACACTTACCGTTGATGAAGTTGCATGTCAAGTATCCGCTTTTTATGAGATATACAATACCGCCAAGTCCCCTATGGCAGCCGTGCTTGCGGAAGGATATGGTGACGATTATGCGGAACTCTTTGATGCCTTGGAGTGTCGCTACTTCATTCCTAAAAAGTCAATTGCGTCCGTGCAACCAGAAGTGGTGATTGACGTTTTTGAAAATCTACCAGTTGAACGGAGAGTTCATTTTCATGGAGAACCGGCGGTTAAGACAGTAGTTGGGAGTGATACTCGTGACCCTGGCTGCTTTGTCATGTGATATGGGGGTTGTAGCGATTACATTGAGCGAATGAGGAAGAGGGGGAGAGAAAATGGAACAAAAATTGTCTTTTTTTTTTTTTTTTTTTTTTTGTGAAAATTTGGTGATTTTTCTCAGAATTCATTTTGGATACTGCACGAGGCTCGGTTTTGAAAAGTGAATGACAAATTCCGTTTATTTTGGGTTGTATTGTTGTGTGTGTGTGTGTGCGTATGTGCTTTTGCTTCCTTGCATAGAGGTTTAGAAGGTTCTCCAAGAAGCACGGGTTATAACGCGTAAGCTCAGTTGGCAATATGTACTCTTATGGCAATGGAGACCTTGACAGTCAAGTCCAACGCCTCTTTGCCAACGTAGACTATCAGTTGGAGCAGTGGAACAAGAAGTACGGGTCGAAAAACTTCTGCGTGGCGCCGGACGAAGCCCACTCCGTTGAAAGAAATACCCATGCCTCTGATGCAACCCCCCAATTGAATGCGGACCGCAAATGTCTTGGGTGCATGCAACGTACAGCGGCACCGAGTTCTACTCATAATTATAACGGCGAAAATCAGAACTACAAAACTCCTACAAGTTACTCGAATGAGGAAGCGGGGGTCGACGTGTCTGCACTAGCTGCACGTGTCAGTTTGCTGGAGGAACGGCTGCGTGTGGCCGACAATGAACGCGTGGATTTGAGAAATCGTTTGGACGCCGCACAGCGGCAAATTTCAGACCTTCTTGAGGCTTATAGGGCACTCCAAAATGAGCGGTTTGCATCTAGGATGCAAACGTTGTCACAACCGCAGTACGATGAAGCGCAGGAAACGAAACGGGGTGATCATAGCCGTCTTACGGATGACACGGTGACTCCTACTCGAAATTTCAGTAGTGTCATGCACTCGGGACCATCAAATTTAACCTCGACCGAGTTTGTGTCTCCCCACGCCGTTTCTAGAGCGCTTGAATCCCATGTTAGCGGGGAGGCATTGAGTGCTGAAATGTGGACCAGGACACCCTCACAAAAGTCTTCTGCACAGGAACGTAAAATGTTGCTTGAGCAATTGGCACGGCGACTTTCCGCTCCCTCGAGTTCATGAAAACATGTCACGTGCCACTTCTTTTGTCAAATTGGAGCTTGTGCATTTATTTGGATGGAACGTCATTTTAATATTACATTTGCAATATATGTTGTCGTTGTTTTTTCAAACGCTTTATCGATTTCTTGCTACTGAGGCGGAGAGAAAAAAAAAGAATAGTTAACATAAATGTGTTGCTTGTAAGCCTTCTTCACAAATAATGAAAAGGGGATTGAGGTGTGTTTTCGTGAGTATGTTGTTGTTGTTCTTCATCTTCTAACCGGAGCCTTGCGTTGTTTTATTATTATTATTATTGTTTGGAATTTGCTTTCAAAACAAGGGAGGTGGAGGGAGGGAATTAGGCACAAGGTGGATCCGAATTGGTTGCATGTGTACACCTAATTGAGCAAGGATGGTGTTGCATGTGGCGCTTCTTGGGAAATCGACTTCCACCCCACTTACTCGGCTGGATCTGTTGGAGGCGTTGCGCCGGAATTCTCCACGTGGCTATCATGCCACTCGGTCCTATCTTTGGACCGAAGATAATCTTTTTACCACTCTCTCCCCAGTGCCGCTTTTTGATGTGAACTCAGTTGGATGCTGCTACTACGCGTTTAGGGCCGAATTGTCCTGCGGAGGGAATAACGAGGATTTTCGAGTGGCTGTGATGCTTCTACTGGACCTCACCGCAGCCGTGGACAACTTGGTTGCCATCGCGACGGAAAAGGAGGACGTGGAATCACATGAGGAGGAAGAAAGTAATTTCCTACTTGTTGAACTTGCAGACGTATTGGAGCAATCCGAGGCGACTTGTAGTGATTACCTGAAGCGGTGGGGAGCTGAAGAGCACAACTATCACCTTACGATGGCGCGTCGTGTCCTACTGGCGGCGGGTCATGTTTATTCTCTTCCTCTCTCGTTGCCGTCGTCCCCTTGTACGCCGAGCAGCTATCTGGAACTGCAGTTCCACTTCCTTGCAATGGAAGCGGAGATGCAAAATCGGTGTCGTGAAGATGCGTTAACAGAGGCCTTGCATCAGTGGGCCAATGAAGTGGAGCGAGTCATGCGAGAAGAATCGTGTCACCTTGCGGTAGCAGCGGTTCCCATTTCTGTGGCTGAGCTCCTGGACGCTCACCCGCAGCTTGTACAAACGGCACTCCTGCATCACACCATTCGACAGCCGTTGTCATGGCTTGCGGTTGGAACACAGTTGTCGTCGTCCTCTACGCGATTGGAAGGCGTTGTTAACGGCGTCATACAAGAGTACCGTGTCTTGGCGCAGAACAAACTTTACGTGCGGGTGCCTCTTCGAATGTCGCGCTACTCCTTTGCCTATTTGTTTTTTGCGGGCCTTCCTCGTGTGCTTGCGGAAAAGCCATTGTCACGAACAGAGACGCCTTTGGCGTTATTATCCCACGTGGGAGGGGGTGGCGAGGAGGTGGAGGCCGATGAAAGAGAACTTCTTCTTGGGTTACAGCTGACGATTGCGCTCCACAGACTTCGTTTTGAGGTTAAAGGACAACATACTTTCGTCATTGAGCGGTTTCTTCAAGAACTGCAGTGTAGAAATGAGAAGGGAGATGTTGCTGAAATTACGCCCGAGAACGCGTCGCTGCGGCGGGAACTTGATCGCTTACGACGAAAACTGATGCCTGTGGCTACTATGCGTGGAGACTCCATCGATTGGATGCGATCCTATGCTCAGGAGGCGGCAATGGACTACAACGTGACGGAGAAGGAAATTGACCGTCTAGAGGTATCCATGCTGGACAACAGCGAAAGTGGCACCTTATCCGCTGACGATGCTGACGATGCATTCTCCAATAAGGATGACGAGGCTGCTTCAGGTGTGTCGCAGCAGTTGGAGGAGATGGATTCCTTTTTGGGGGCACGGATGTGCGAGGCGGTACTCAGTGGCTCTGATGTTGAGGAGGCAGCACTGACGAATGTGGCAGATAACTTTCTCTTCCTTGAGACCGTGCAAATGCTCGCACAGGATGATATCCCCGCGAAATAACCCCACAAGGAAGGAGGAGGTGCAAAAAAAAAAAACCCACAGCCCGCGGTGGAATCAAATAAAAAGGTGGTTGATGGAAAAAAGGAGTGGACAAACATTCGGGGTATTGGTGGGTGGGGAGAAAAAGAGAACAGTTTATTTTTCTTTGATTCCTGTACACCCAATTTGTCTTTTTATTTGGTCATCTTTTATTATTTCTTCTGATAAAACACAAGATAACCGAAGAAAATATAGTGCGGCCACGAAAACTGATCAAGAAGAACACAGAATAAAGGGGAAGAGAATGACACGATTGGATGTGGACGGGTTGTGTGCACTCCACATTGGCAGGGAGCTTGTAAATTGCATGGATGTTTCATCGAAGTACCTGCTTTGGTGTGTCGAGGGCAGTAGAGCTGCAACGCTGCACATGTGGGAGTCTCGCAGAGAGCAACCTTCTGCAGAGCCGCTGGTGGAGTTGGGCTTCACTCCCACCCTCATCTCATCTTTTGAAGAAAAAGTCGTCGTGGTGGGCGACAGAGTTGTGGCACTATTCACAATTGAATGGCCGCCTTTTTGTCCTATTGATGTACTTGGAGATGGAGATGGAGATGAGGAAGAAGGGGGGAAACCGATGGTTACAGAAGAGTTCACGTGTAGCAATATCCCTGCAGATGTGACGCACATCTCGTGGGCTCCGGACGGAGCTACAGCCGCCCTTTCATCACCAGAACAACTTGTTTTGTTGGATTGTCGCGTCGGATACAGCAACGC